TACCCATTGGTCACCAGGTTTCCCTTTTATTGAATTCTTAAAAGGGGAATAATATACCTACCTCGGATTTCTGAGGAATAGAGGTTTAAGTTCAGCCCTAATACTCGCCAGGACCGTGACAGGAGATTGTCCAATAGTGAAGCAGACAGGGAAAATTCCCTTTCAGCTGCGCTATCTGCCACAGTTTGTTGAAAAGTAAACATATGCGAATGGTAAAAGCTATCAGTCTTAAGAGTTGACTGATCCAAGTTCAAAGTTACCCGCTTCTGTATCATACAGGTCCTAGGCATTCCTGACTGCAACCCCTTCATATTACGCACATATTTTATGCAGTCCTGCCCCCCCAAGCGACCACGGTCTGCGTACTTTGTCCAATTCGTTCAGGCGCGCTGCATACGTGATGGTCGCGCGCAGAAAGCAGTGGCCGACACAGCAACGCAGTGGCTATCGTTTATCTGCATGCTTCGCACTGAAAGCACGCAGCGTGAATGCAGTCGTAGGATTTGCTTCTTGCCAGCCTCCGCGCTGCCTTCCAGGTGGCTGTACTTTTGACGACGGAAGCGTCAAGCCGATCGATGTTTTTGTTTTCGACAATTCTCCTCAGCCGACAAAGCTCAGGCCACCGCACGCACGTACGTACCACTCGTCGGGACTAACAACATCGAGGATCGGTTATCGGTTTGAACAGTTTCCACCACTGCCTTCTGAGCCCATTGCATACTGACAGTTCGACCATCGGTTTCGATGATGTCCACCGTGTGCCCCACTGTTGCAGCAGCAATGGGAGCAGGGACGGTGACTTACGCAGGGGTTTATAGTGCCGGTAAACTTGCGTAGCATCTACCTACACTCTCTCCTCCTCCCTCGCCCGAGCCCGGTGTCAAGACAGAGTCAAGAAGACCGGAGACGAGGGAGGCCGCAGGTGGATGGCTCGGACGGATCCTCGCCTTGGCGCTCCACTCCGCCCCCCCTGGTCCACACAACAATAACCAGGATTTCAACCAACGCAACAGAGATTTGGAGGCTGGCACGGCCGAAACCGCACCTGGGCGTGACGCCAACGCCTGGCTCGGATCCCACACTGTGATAGGAGTGCCATAAAGGCCACATTAAGAAGGAGCCATTGCAGCCTGACTCTCAGACCGCCTCCGGTCAAGAAGGAGGTCCAAATTACCCCGTCCGTTGGCAACCTTCCAAGCCACGGCTTTTAGCGCACCGTGATAGCTTCAAGCGCGTCAGATTGTTTATAGTGAGGAGAAAGTGCGCTGAGTCGTCGACCTCACTCTCCCTTCCCACTCCCACACCCCAGCCGCTGTCCGAACCGGTCAGCAGACTGGAGTGGGGAATGGGCGCGGTGGCTGTCATGGTCGACTGACCATGACTGAGCGCGCCACGGCCCGACCTGCCCCCCATACACACAACACCAGGATTTCACACAACGGGGGTTGAACGGCGTGTCTCTCACTTGCGTGAGAGTGCCGTGGAAGGTGCTATTTCGGCTCGTCCCCAGCCCACCAGTCCGCCACTCCACACAACACACACACAACGCGACGAACTGCGTGAACCGAGGGCGGGTGTCAATCAGCAACCTTCCTATCCACGACGTTTGACGTGTTGGGATAGTCTCGGACTCAAGTCACCCGTGCAGCCGAAGCCGCATGGGGACCGAGTCGAGATGCGGACTTCCCACTTGCGTGGGAGGTGGCAGTTGGGTGCATGAGGTGTGTGAGTGTTGATTTCTGGTGGGGTGATGGTGGT